TGGAACAAATCATCCTGAGTGCATCACATGCCACATGTAGGACAACCAAGCGCTCAGGCCCAGTCAGGATGGGTTCAGGAAGGGCAGGTCCTGCTTGACTGATCTGATCTCCTTTTATGACGAGGTGACCTGCTTGGTGGACGAGGGGAAAGCTGTGGACGTTGTCTACCTGGACTTTAGTAAGGCCTTGGACACCGTCTCCCACAGCATCCTCCTGGAGAAGCTGCTGGGCATGGCTTGGGCGGGCACATGCTTTGCTGGGTCACAAACTGCCTGGATGGGAGCACAGAGAGTTGTGGTGAATGGAGCTAAATCCAGTTGTGACCAGTCACAAGTGGTGTTCCCCAGGGCTCTGTTTTGGGGCCAGTCCTGTTTAACATCTTTATCAATGATCTGGATGAGGGGTTTGAGTGCTCCCTCAGCAAGTTTGCAGATGACACTGAGTTGGGAGGGAGTGTTGATCTGCCTGAGGGTAGGAAGGCTCTGCAGAGGGACCTGGATGGGCTGAATCCATGGGCTGAGGCCAATTGTGTGAGCTTCAACAAGGCCAAGGTCCTGCACTTCGGGTGCAATAAGGAGGAGGAGGATGCTTTGGGTGGGCTCCAGAAGCGCCTGGCTCTTCCTTGCCACCCATTGACTTTTTGGTGAGCTGAGAGCGGATGAATCCTCACCTGATCCCTCTGAGTTACAAGACACGAGTGATCAGATTAACCTAATCCCCTTTAAAGGAAGAGAGGGAGCGGAGCAGCAACCTGCTTGCTCTGCCCAGGAGTGGATGTAGAGACACAGAGGTCTGCTCCTTTGGAGATGGAGCCCAAAATACTCAGTTTCCAGTAGCCCATCAGAGCAGGCAAATATTTTGGATGAACCGAAAATTTACTGTTTGAGAGAAGTTCTCTCCTTGGCAGAGGAAGGGAAATGTGTTTAACAGGAACATTTGGAACTCCCTGGGAAAACCTTGCCAATATTTTTCTGCCTCCTCCTGCCCCTGCTTCCCTTTGCCGTTAGGCTTGAAAGCTTTTGCCTTAGTTTGGCAATGTTTGACATCCAAAATGAGGTGTTTAGATCTAGGGAGACCTCCTGCAAGCACAGCTGTGCTGGCCTCGATCCCCTCCATCTCTCATCTCTTCCCTCCTGCTTCCTTGGCAGAACGACGGGCAGGACTTGGATGGCTGGTTTTCCAGAGGCCCACGCTCCAACCGAGTCACCACGCACCCCAAACTCAACCTGACCAAGCAGGCTTTGCCCTGGAATGAGCAGGTAGGTGAGCAGGGAGCAGCAATGGGGGTGATGGTGGAGGAGGAGGTCCCAGGAGGTCCACCCAGCCCCTTGCTGAGGAGCCTGCAGCCCATATCCAGCCATGTCCAGCCATCCTCATCCCTGCTTTCCATCACCCAGCCTGGCCCGGGGGCTCTGCCTGGTCCTGAGGTCAATGTGGTGGCCGTGAGGATGAGCTCCTTGCCTGGGTGGTGCTGTGGGTATGCATCAGCTCCCTCATCAGGGTGGGTGTGCAAGGGGACATCTGGCTGTGTCAGGACCCATCAGAGGGGTCTGTGCTCATCTCACTCATCTCCCTCTCTCATCCCACAGTACAAAGGGAAGGCAAACCTCCACGTCTTCGAAGACTGGTGTGGAGGGGCTGTGAGGCATCTGAGGAAGAACCTCCATTTTCCACTCTTTCCCCATGTGAGTCCCAGACTTGATGGCGGTGGAGGGAGGGTCTGCTCGTCCCTCTCTGGGTGTTGCTGGGTCTTCACTGACTGTGGTCTTGGTACTCAAGGCCTTTGCTTTCAGGCTTTTTGGTTTGGTTTAGGGCAGATAATTCCCAGCATAAAGGGGGGTGGGTGGTGATGGCACTTTCTTGTCACATCCCTGATGCCTTGGCTAATGCGACCCCAGGATAACAAGGAGGAGGTGGGCTGGGTGATGGTGGTGCAAGGCACGAGCCTGGGCACAAGCTGTTCATGCTTTCCTGTCCCTCTGCCCCAGACCCGCACCACGGTGAAGAAGCTGGCTGTGTCACCCAAGTGGAAGAACTATGGGCTGAGGATTTTTGGCTACATTCACCCCTTCAAGGATGGTGAGTGATGGAGCTTGGCCTCTTCTCCCCCCTGCAGCAATGTGGAAAAGCTGCCTCCTTCCCCCTTCTTGGGCCACACGAGGACAGAAAGGCTCTTAGAGATGGTCCCCAAAGCCTGGCTCCCAGGCAGGGGCATCTTTCTGGAGCAAAGACCCTTTTTGCTGCTTCCACATGGAGGCAAAGCCCTGGTCCCATCAAGGACAGAGCTGTGACATTGGGTCCGGGGTGGCCCCGTCACCGATGTCCATCACAACGAGATGCCAGGGCTGAGACCCTGGTACTTGGGCTGCTGTGTCACTCTGCGGTCACCTTCTCCTGTGCTCTCCACAGGAGATTTCCAGTTTTCCGTGGCATCGGATGACAATTCGGAGTTCTGGCTCAGCTCTGACGAGAGTCCATCCAACTCCCGGCTGGCTGCGTTCGTGGGCAAGGTATGCGCCATTGTCCTCGTCCCCCTGCCTTCTCCCGTGCCAGGGATGCTGGAGCTCCCACCAAGAGCATCTCCTCCCTTGGGGTGCCTCACTCTCGGCATGCTGAAACCATCGCCAGTGCTTTCTGGGGGTCCCTAGCACTCGATTAATGATGTTTCAAACCTATGGGTGCTCTTTGGCCACCACAAATTCTCCTTTCTAGAGGTCCTGCTGCTGCAGAAGCTCTCAAAGGGAGTGTGTGGGGTCTGTGCATGGCTTTGCCCCCTTGGGAAATGCCAGGCTGTTCCAGCCTTGTCCCATCTCTGCCCCTGGCCAGGCCTGGTTTGGCTTCTAAAGGACCATCTGCCCCTTGGTGCCATCCTAATTGTAGCTACCAAAGACCAGTTTATGTCCCAGAATAAGAGGTTTAATATTTGCTCCTGGATTTTCTTGGTGTTAACTCCTATAACTGGGAACCCCGTGGTCTGTCACTGCACACATGCTCTTTTGGGATCTTGGTGTTGTTGGCCGGTAACAAATCCTTGTGGCAGGAGTGCCACCAGCTGGGGACAAACCGGTGCTGGGCTTGAGCTCCTGGGATGTCCTTCTGCCTGAGGAGCCTTTCTGCAGCATGGCATGGTGCCCTATGGAGGTGGAGGACAGGTTCTCACTTGACCCATGGTGTCCTCGGTGCTCTCACACGCTCCTCCTTCCTTCCTTCCCCCAGCTGGGCACCGAATGGACGGCGCCTGGAGAGTTCACCAAATTCAGCTCACAAGTCTCCAAGCCTCTACGGTAAGTGTGTGTCCTTGCTCCCACTGCCCATCCCGGGTGGATGGAGTTGGGGAGATGGAGCTGCCAGCTCCATGCTGATTTTGACCAGTTCCTCCTCCCCAGGAGGAGACCCGAGCTGTGGTCTCTTCCCAAAAGACACTTGGGATGTGGGCTGGACAGGGGCTTAATGAACTGTGCCCCCAGCTTCATGGTTTGAAGGCGCTGGGGGCTGCAGCCACCTCTGCAGATGATGAGATGGGACAGGGCATCCCCCCTGATCTCATGCAGCTTCACAGCAGTGGGATGCGGGAGCAGATACCCACATCACGCTGCCTGTCCTGGCCCCAGAGAGGTTTAGCCACATGTCAGCAAGACAGAGGTGGTTTTTTGAGGTGGTTCCGCTGACAGGGGAGCTCCCATCCCCCTGCCAGTGGTAGCAGTTGGCTCAGCCATGGTTTCTAACCGGCTCCTTCCCCTCTTGCGCAGCCTCATGTCCTCCAGGCGCTACTACTTTGAGCTGCTCCACAAGCAAGACGACCGCGGTTCAGACCACGTGGAAGTTGGCGTGAGTAAACCCCCACCCCCTGCTCCTTTCGAGGAGCTGGCGCCAGAGCTTTTCCTAATGAGCGTTAAAACACTTTGTCCTGGAGCAAAGCCATTATTTCCCCCTCCCATGGCCACCAGCGGCTCCGTCCACATGGGGGATGGAGTCAGCGTCGCTCGGACGGAGCTGGGGCTCATCTCTCCATCTCCTTGGCCCGTTCTTGTGCAGGACACCTGGCATGAGCTGCTTTTATCCGTGCTCATCCCATCCTTTCATGCTGCCATCCTTTTGGGAGCTAAAGACTTAGCCCTTTTTTTCTTTTCCACACTTAGAGATACCGTGAGTTTCAAATCTGAACTTGTCTGCCTTGGCTGCACAGCCCTGGCAAAGCCTGGAGTGTGTGTGTCAGGAGCGGGGCTGTATTTGGGAGAGAAAGATGTTGGCTCGTTAGCAAAGGTTTCCTTTCTCCCCAGCAGTCATTAATCACCAGAGTCAAACTGGTGCCAGCAAAGCATCAGAGAGGCTGACAACACCCCTTCCTTGCTGCCTCTCCATCCCAGCCCGATAAGATCTGCATTTCTGCTGTGAAAAACAAAGAGGGGGGGAGATTTTTTTATTTTATTTTCTCTTTTGCTGGAGGGAAGGAGGGTGGGAGGGAGAGAAGCCTTCCAAATGTTCAGAACGAAACAACAACAAAAGAGCAGGACCCTAATGCATCTCTCCCTGGGGAAATTTGAGGGCTTGTCTGCACAAAGGTTCTAGGAATGCTTTTAAAATGCCCATGGCTACATCAGTGCAGGCAGCTATGAAGACCCCCTTCGGCCAACACAAAATCAGCTGCTCTTAATGTGCTCTCACACAGCACCAGAGGGAGGTTTGGGAGGGAGAGGACGTGTTGTAGGGCTCGAGATTTGGGAGGGAGAGGAGGTCTTGTAGGCCTTCATGTGCATGAGCTTTGGCTCAGGTCTTTGATGGGTGCCGTGGTCTCCGTTCCCTGAGGTTACATCCTGAACCCCTCCCCGTGTCCCACTCATTTTCTCTCTCCTTTTATTTTTCCTAGTGGCGAGTTTTCCTCCCCAGCTTGAAGTTCGAAGTGATCGACTCCTCCTACATCTCCCTGTACACAGGTAGGGGCCACGCTTGTCCGGCAAACCAACTCTCGAGGAGGCTGTGTGTGTTGGTGCAGCTGGGAGAGACGGCACCAGAGCCTGGGAGGGAAACCAGATCCTGGGAAACCAGATCCTAGGGGAAGATCTCAGCCTCTCAACCCCCCCAGAGCTTCTGCTGGGTGTGAGGGAGCAGGCAACGGGCTGCGGCGAGGAGGGGTGATGCTGGGGGTGTGCTGTGATCCTCCCAAAAATGGGATGCAGAGGGGACGTGTGATGGAAATGCAGCTCTCCTGGTGCTCCAGCCTCATCCCTGCTCGTGGCACCACAGAGGCTTGGCTCCTTGGCCTGGCCCTGAGTTATGAGGAGCTGTCGTGTAAGCAGGGATGGATGGCGCAAGGTTTAATTAAATCTATAGATCTTCTGCTTCCTGTCCTTTCCCTGGCAGCAAGAAAGGACTTGATAGATGGCTCCTGCCCCAGTACTCAATGCGCTGGAGGCCTGGTCATCAAACATGCCCTGGAAGGTGTCAATAAGGCAGGAGCAGACAGGCAGCAGGCGGGGATCAATGGGGAGAAGAGAGATGGAGGGGTATTGCTGGTATTGATGCAGATGCCCATGAGATGGATGACGTGCAGATAAATCCCCTCCTACTGCTATCCATCAGTGCCAGCCCTTTCCGCTTCTCATTCCCACTTCCTGGCTCCCTCGGACCCCAGCAGCATTGCAGAGCGAAGCCACATCACTTGTGGGGAGCCCATTCCCGTGGCGTGGGGGATGCCAGCAGCGTGCGGAGCATCATCAGTCTTTCTCCGGCTTCTCTAGGGGTTGCAGCCCAAGCTCAGCCCACTGCACAGAGGTGTTTGGAGAGCCTCTCCCCACCACAAGCAGAATTTGAGCTCAGGAAACAGGGTCCTGTTCACTTCAGGACCTGCCAGCTTCCCCACAGGGCTGCCTGGAAAGGGAGCACCCTTGGGTGCTGGGGACAGGCAGCTCCGAGCGTGGCCAAGGTGACCGGAGCAAGGTGACCTCCCTCGGGGCGGTCTGGGGGCTGGTTGTTGGCTTGAGGATGATGTGCCAGCCTTGTCCCTAAACAGGAGACACAACCAGCTCATATTGCATTTACCTGCACCTCTGTAGGGAAGGACCTTCACGGTTTAATTCCTGCGTCCTTGCGAGTGAAAGCCTTGGTGTGTTCCCACCCCTTGTCTTTGAGCGATGCTGTAATGGGGCTGGGGCTGCCTGGCTGAGATCAGCTGTACCCTTGTCCTCTTGGTGTTCATCAGCTGACGGTGATAATCATTAGGCTGAGCAGTCACGGGATCTGCAAGCGTGTGAGAGGGCTGGAGGAACTGGGTTTGCCCTTGAGCAAACACATCAGCTCCCCTTGTTCCCCTGGGAGCAGGAGGAATCCACAAACCTCCGAGCCTTCTTGGTGGGAGGGATGGAAAGGTTGGGAAGCACCACCTGGGTGGATGCTCCTGGGATGATGCTCCATGTGCATCTGCCCATGTGGCTCAGCCCCTGTCCTCGCCCCCTCCAGATGAATCGTCCCTGAAGATGAACCACGTGGAGCACATCCCACAGACCTTGGCCAGCCACAGCAGGAGCTACCTCTGGGAGGCCCAGCAAGATGAGCACGGGGCTGACATGCTGAAGGCTGACCCCAGGGACACCTTCTTCCTCAGTAAGTGGCTGGGACTGGACCCTCACACATCTCCATGGGATTTTGGGGGGAGGAAGAAGGCAGGACCTGGCTGTCACAGGCACCCAGAGTGTCCTTCCTAACTTCTGCCCATCTCTTGGGTTGAGGGCATCTCTGCTGGGGTCTATAGGGAGGCAAGCTGGGATGGTTTGGGCTACAGACTAGAAGGCTGCTGGGGCTATGGGGGTGGTAGGACGTGGCCTGGGGCTCAACCACAGTTGCTTCTCCTCAGCCCCTGCGATCGAGGCCTCCCGCGTGGAGAACGTGCTGGTGCCCTGTGCCTACAGCCCCACCTATGTGGTGAAGGACTTCCCCATCGCCCGTTACCAGGGCCTGCAATTTGTAAGTGTCTCCCCACAACAGGGACAGGGCTCACGCTCCTGCGAGACACACGGTGAAGCAAAGTGCTTTGCCCCTGCCCCAAGAGCAGGGATGATGATTTTAACCCCACCTGGCTAAAATCCAGGAGCAAATGTCCCTTGCTGAAGGATCAGCTTGAGCTTCCCCATCTTGACCTGGAGGGGTTTGAGTTAAAAGCCCTGAGATGTTAGGGGTCACCTTCTGTTGCGGGGCCATGCTGGTGGCCACGTGTCCCCGGCTCCTAGCCCTGCCAGCCCACGCTTTCTCAGAGCGAGCCCGCTCTGCACCGAGGTGACAGCGGCGTGGTCATCTCCCCAGGTCTACCTCTCGTTCGTGTACCCCAACGACTTCACGCGCCTCACTCACATGGAGACGGAGAACAAGTGCTTCTACAGGGAGTCCCCCCTCTACCTGGAGAAGTACGTGTTGGGGGGACGGCATCTGGGGGTGAGGAAGGGCCCTATGTCACCAGAGCTGGCGAAACGATGCTGAGGTGATGCATCCTCAGCCACGTGTCCCCACGCTCCTTCACCCATGGAAGGGCTAACTCTAGGCCGACTCCTTTTTTTCGTAGCAGCTTGAGCCCTGGCAGTGCTCCTGGATTTTGGGAACCCCAGCTCCCTTTGGAGCCTGCCTGTGCCACAGCTGGGGATGTTCCTCCCTGCACCGGCTTGCGTGTGTGCGAGCACGTCCCTTCCCCTCGCACCCCTCCCTTATCTCCGGGACCTCACCTTCCCTCTCCGTCTCCCAGGTTCGGTTTTTATAAGTACATGAAGATGGATGAGGAGGAGGAGGATCCACGCCAGCGAGCGTTTCTCTTCCTCAACACAGACAGTGAGTCACCGCTGCCTGCTGGCAGCTTTTTGGGCATTGCTCAGCCCCTTGGCGAGGGGCTGAGCACCCTCACCCACCAGCCTCTCTGCTCGGAGGTGCCACTCATTGGGATGCCCTCGGGGATGCCAGGGATCAAGGAGGGCAGGGCTGTGTGGAGCAGCTTGCGTCCAAGCGCTCCTGTGCGCTCTGTGGTCTCGCATCCCGCTCAGCTCAGCCACAAGCGCTGCGGGATGTGGGAAGCAAGGTGCTAGGGGTGGGATTCTCCCTCCTTGCTCCTTGAAGTCCTGTACCAGCATCTCCTGGGTTAGCCTGGTCAGTGGGCAGCAGGATATGACCTGGTGTTGAGGCTGGGGGTGTCCATGGAGGCTGAGGCTGTCCATGGAGGCTGGGGATGCTCACGGGGACCTGCAGAGCCTGCCCTGCTGTCAATTTGCAGCCCAGCAAAGCCCTGGCAGGCCAGGTTTGCTCCCAGATGAAATAAGAGCAGTGCCAAGATGTGGCCAAGGTTTGGAGGGGTTAACGGGCAGAGCCTGGAGCTGCCAGCCCTGGTGAGCATCAGTCATTGCCCACCAGCTCTCAGGCTCCCTCCAGGGTAACCTCTCGCTGGAGGCAAGCTTTGCCTCCTTGTCTGGGGCCAGGGGTTGTGCAGAGCAGCTGGGACCCTCAGGGTATTTATCTGTGGCTTTACTCCTCAGATTTCTTAGAGGATGAGGAGGAGGAGGAAGAGGAGGAAGGAGTGGACAGCCCTGAGCCCACAGACCCACCTCCCGCAGGCAAGGAGAAGAGCTTTGGGCCAGTACCTTTGGGGCCCCCCCCAGTCACTGGGGATTACGGAGATGACCTGGACTATTACAGCTTTCACCGCAAGCCGGGGCAGGCCCAGGACGAGGCAGGCACGCCGAGGCAGCTGGGAAGATGGAGCACGTCCCACCAGGCCAGCACCAGCCCAGCAACCGTCCCCGAGGAGGACACTGGCCCCGCGCTGGATCAGGTCCGTGGGAGGGTGCTCAGTTGGTTACCCCAGGATCCTGGCAAAGGCGAGGAGGATGAGCTCGGGCTGCTGGCGTCTTCAAAGCACGCTGGGGTTCTGAATCTTCAGCCGCACCTCTCTGTTCCCATCTTTGGTGGCAAAGCTAAAGCACCAGGTCCCACCAAACCTGCAGCACCCAGGGAGGACAAAAAGCCCCAGAAGGCCCAGGAGAAGGTCTACGTGACCAGGCTGCAGCCAGGGAAGCGCAAAGCCCCGGCCCAGAAGCCAGCCTTCCCTGGCATCTTCCTTTACCCAAAGCCTATGAAGAAAGTCCATCTTCGCTCCAGGACCCCTCAGAAGCATCCTATCACCTCCAGCAAGCTCCGCTCCGTCCCTCGCCGCCGGACCCCCTGGCTCCTCAACAACATCTCCAAGGAGAAGGATGCTGCCAGGCGGAAGGGTGCCCGTACGGGTGGCAGGAGGTGGGATCAGCCATCCAAGCCAGGGGCTGAGCTGGCGGGTGCTGCCTGGCCTCCTCGCCCTGGGGACCGAAGGGCTCTTCAGTAGGGAGACCCGTGAAGACACGACCCCTGCCCCGGGCAGGACAGTAGCCACCACTGACTACAACTCCTCTGAGGTGACCCGAGTGACATCCTTTCTGAAGATGTCAGAAACGACGGCGTCCCATCAGGAGGAGGGCAAGGGCCAGGAGGAAGAGGAAGAGGAGAAAGAAGAGGTGTCGGACTACAGCTATGAGACCGGGGAGCTGCAGCAGAGCTGGCTGGAGGACTCCATCAACTGGCAGAGAACGTTCAGCGTCAGCTCGGTGGACTTCGAGCTCCTGCGCTCCGACTGGAACGACCTGCGCTGCAACGTGTCGGGCAACCTGCAGCTGAGCGAGAGCGAAGTCGTTGACGTGGTGGCGCAGTACATGGAGAAGCTCAACAAGAAGAATGGAGGGTAGAGGCATGGGCAGGAGGTTGGGGGGGGATGTGCATTTGCCCTGCTTCATTTCCTGGGGTCAGGTGGGTTCAGGCCAACTCCTTGAGCTGTGGGGAGCAGAGGTGATGGTGATGATGCTTCCAAGTTCTTCTCCTTTCTCTACAGCATCTACACCCTCCTGAGGATCGTCAACGTGGAGAAGCGTCGGGACACGGCCCGGGGAAACCGCTACCTGCTGGAGCTGGAGCTGGCGGAGCGAGGCCAGCGGACTGTGCGGCTCTCCGAGTACGTCTATGTCCTCTTGCACCAGGGCAAGCAGGACGACAGTGCTGAGGCCAACCCTGAAGGGCCAGTTCTGGGGGCCACCGAGCCCCAGCCGAGCACCTGGAGCATCCTCTATGGAAAACCCGTACTGTGCCGGCCCCTGCGGCTCAGCTGGAAGCAGGACGTCATGGTACACTTCGTGGTACCTGGTAGGTGACAGCAGGACGTGTCTCTCCGTGGTCTTTGCTGCTCTTCCTGCCCTCAGCATCCTCTGCTGGGAGGAAGGCAACCCCTTTTCTCCCCAAGTGCATCCTCCAGGCTGGCCCAAGGGGGATGGGGTTCCCTCTTCTCATGAGATGCTGAGGTTTTTGCTTCTCATGAGATGCTGAGGTTCTCACTTCCCATCAGAAGCGGTGTTGGTTTGGTTAGGGAAGGGGGTGCTCTTGGGACCCCCATGGCAAGCCTGAGGGATGTTTGTGGCTGTGTCTGGCAGTGAAGAACCAAGCCCGCTGGGTCCAGCAGTTCATCTCAGACATGGCTGACCTGTACGGGGCTACGAAGGACACCAACTTCAACGTCATCTTGGTGGACTTTGACAGCGACGACATGGATGTCGAGAAAGCCCTACGGGATGCCCGACTGCCCCGGTAACTGCCCCAACATGAGCTCCAGGTTCCACCCTGCTCCCTCTGAGGCTACAGAGTGGGTCTGTGGGTATCCTCATGATGGGACAGGCCGTCCTGTCGTGACAATGTTCACACAACCACCCACTCCTTCCCCAGCCTGGCACAGGTCTTTGCCTCACTGCCCCTCTCCCTCCTCCTCCTTTTTGGGAGTTTAAATTTGTTTCCCGTGTGGAGGAGGCAGGGGTGCAGGAAACTCCTCTGCCTCAGCATGAGTTGTAGGCACCTGAGAAGGTCCCCTTTCCTCACTGGTGGTCCCTGTGTCCCTTTCAGTCCACCAGCACTAACCCCTCTCTGTCCTCTCTCCTCAGCTACCAGTACCTGCGGCGCACAGGGAACTTTGAGCGCTCGGCCGGGCTGCAGGCTGGTGTGGACATGGTCGAGGTGAGCCAGGGGAGAGGAACTTTGGCTGCTCTCCTGGAGCTCTTTCACTCTGATCATCCTGCTTGTGTCTGTCCCCTCCCATAGGACGGGCACAGCATCGTCTTCCTCTGCGACCTGCACATCCATTTTCCCCCCAATATCCTGGACAGCATCCGGAAGCACTGCGTGGAGGGGAAGCTGGCCTATGCACCCATCGTCATGAGGCTGAGCTGCGGCAGCTCCCCACGGGAGCCCAACGGTGAGCGGGGTCCCCTCTGCCCTCACGCCGCTCCAGATGGAAAATGTCCCCCACTTGCCCAAGGAGACCTGAGTGCTGGGTTTGGGTTGCAGCCAGGCTCAGGATGGGTTGGTTTTGCTCTGGCATGATGAGGTTCAAGCCCAAGGATGCTTGAGGTGCACAGAGTGTGATGCCCCCAAAACTGGGCTGTCACCATGCGCAACCCCATGGGAGGTGGCAGTGATGGGGATGGACTCGTGGTGGGGAGAGGGGTTTGAGTGGGGCGTTCCTGTGGTCCTCAGGTAGTGAGGAGAGCGCAGAGGTGATGGTGTGGGGATCTGGGGTCCCTCTGTGCTCCTCACCTCATCGCTCTCCACCCTCCAGGCTACTGGGAGGTGAACGGCTTCGGCCTCTTCGGCATCTATAAATCGGACTTCGACCGCGTGGGAGGGATGAACACAGAGGAGTTCAGAGACCGCTGGGGCGGGGAGGACTGGGAGCTGCTGGACAGGTGAGGTTGGGGGTCCTGGCAGCCCCATCACCCCTCCAGGACAGGGCTGGCCATGCTGATTTGGGCACATCCCCTGGGAAACCCTCCCTGCCCTCCACCCAGCTAAAGGCTGGAGCAATGCAGTGGAGAAGGAGCAAAGGCTTCCTTTAGGAAGGAGGCATCTGTCCCTCAGTGGCTATCCCCCTGTCCCTGAGCATCTGTCCCTC